AAGAGCTCTGTTTGTGCCGAGTGTTTAGCACGTGTGCTGATTCTGCTGAGGGAGAGGACAGAGAGGGACCTTGGGACCTATTGTACTGTTACAGACAGCAGGAATTTTCCTGTCCACTGGAAGTACTTTCTAAATCAGATGGTAGAACAAATGAACTTGGAACGTGGTCCTAAACTAAAACACATGATGAGAAGCTGGGCATGGTGGCTGCCTGTAATACCAGCTCTTGGGAGACGAGGCAGGAGGATCCTTGCAGGTTTGAGACCAGCCTGGGCTACAAAGTGAGCCCAAGGCCTGCCTGAACTGCATAGCGAGACCCTGTCTCAAAAGATAAAAAAAACTTTAAAAAACCCCACATGAATATTATCAAGAATGGGAAATTTAATGAGATCCATATTTGAATAATTACAAAAGAAGAGATTATATATGAATATATCAAAAAGTAACATTACTCGTTTTAACCAGATTATACCAAGAATGTGGTATATTTAACCATGAACATTTATTATATAACATCTTAAGTACCAGAAAGAAAAAGAAAACTGGGTTGTGGAAATTTAACTACTTCAGCGGTTTTCTGATTACTATAACATGCATGAGTTTTGATTTAAGGAGAAGACAGTTTCAGTTTTAAGCATTGATCTTCAGTGTTCTGGGCACGCACACGCACAATCAATAAAATGAGAGAAAAAGATCGGAACTCCTGATGGGTGTTAACTGCCTTGATTGTCGTAATCATTGGAACCCCAAGTGGCACGCCTTACACACCTCGATTTAATCTGTCAACTGCACTTTGAAAAACGGGCTAAAAAGACAGCCGAGGGCATCCCCATGGGTGAGACACTGGGAAGCCATGGTGAGAAGTCCGTTTGCTCCTGAGGTCGTGACTCTCGTCCATGTGATCTGAAGTGGTGCAGTGATCGTGTGTGGTCCAACGGGGACACATTCCTAGTGGGATTTGCCATCATCTGAGACACACAGCTGAATACACGGGGAAACTCAGATAAAGTTTAGACCAGGGATAACATGTACTGGAAGCAACATATCCTCGGCTGAAAGCTAATTTGTTCTTCAACAAACCAATGAAATTGATGTTGAGTTTGTTTCATTCACTGCTATTCGGCGTGAGCTGTTGCTTGTTAACAATGATCATGCGTAAATGATTAACATAGTTTTAAATTTTTCTTTTTAGAGTAAAGCAGAGTTTGTGCATGTGAAAAGCATGTATTGAAAATGCCATTCCAATAAAATTCTTAAATGAGGGAGACTGTATTCATGATTTTGAGGGAAATTCTGCCCGTTATGAATCACAATACAGTCTCCTGCAAGGAGATTTGGATTGACTGGACGTCCTCCTGTTAGTTTTGCTTTTTGTAATGTTTTAAGATTTAATGATTTAACACAATACTCTAAGAAATGAAGTTAATTAACAAGTAGATTGAGTAAAGAATAAAAATATAAATAGTGTGGTATTCTACAGCCTATTCCTATAGACACACTTTACAGATTTCCAGAAAAGTTATGAGGGCAGTACAGGGAATTCCTATATAATGCATACCAAGTTTGCCTGATGATTAACATTTGCATTAGGTGTCATTTTTTATCAGCATTATTAATTTAGGGGGCACAGGTTATTTATAGTCTCTTTTTCCTCTCTTCTCTTCTCCCCTCCCCTCCCCTCCCCCTCTCCTCTCCTCTCCTCTCCTCTCCTCTCCTCTCCCCTCCTCTCCTCTCCTCTCCTCTCCTCTCCCGTCCTCTCCTCTCCCCTCCCCTCCTCTCCCCTCCTCTCCTCTCCTCTCCCGTCCTCTCCTCTCCTCTCCCCTACTCTCCTCTCCTCCCCTCCTCTCCGGTCCTCTCCTCTCCTCTCCCATCCTCTCCTCTCCTCTCCCCTCCTCTCCCATCCTCTCCTCTCCTCTCCCCTCCTCTCCCGTCCTCTCCTCTCCTCTCCCATCCTCTCCTCTCTTCTCCTCTCCTCTCCTCTCCTCTCCTCTCCTCTCCTCTCCTCTCCTCTCCCATCCTCTCCTGTCCTCTCCCCTCCTCTCCTCTCCTCTCCCCTCCTCTCCCGTCCTCTCCTGTCCTCTCCCCTCCTCTCCTCTCCTCTCCCCTCCTCTCCCGTCCTCTCCTGTCCTCTCCCCTCCTCTCCTCTCCTCTCCTGTCCTCTCCTCTCCTCTCCCATCCTATCCCCTCCTCTCCCCTCCCCTCCTCTCCCCTCCTCTCCTCTCCTCTCCTGTCCTCTCCTCTCCTCTCCCCTCCTCTCCTCTCCTCTCCCCTCCTCTCCCGTCCTCTCCTCTCCTCTCCCATCCTCTCCTCTCCTCTCCCCTCCTCTCCCATCCTCTCATCTCCTCTCCCCTCCTCTCCCATCCTCTCCTCTCCTCTCCCATCCTCTCCTCTCTTCTCCTCTCCTCTCCTCTCCTCTCCTCTCTTCTCCTCTCCTCTCCTCTCCCCTCCTCTCCTCTCCTCTACCCTCCTCTCCCGTCCTCTCCTGTCCTCTCCCCTCCTCTCCTCTCCTCTCCCCTCCTCTCCCGTCCTCTCCTCTCCTCTCCTCTCTTCTCCTCTCCTCTCCTCTCCCATCCTCTCCTGTCCTCTCCCCTCCTCTCCTCTCCTCTCCCCTCCTCTCCTCTCCTCTCCCCTCCTCTCCCGTCCTCTCCTCTCCTCTCCCGTCCTCTCCTCTCTTCTCCTCTCCTCTCCTCTCCTCTCCCCTCCTCTCCCATCCTCTCCTCTCCCGTCCTCTCCTGTCCTCTCCCGTCCTCTCCCGTCCTCTCCTCTCTTCTCCTCTCCTCTCCTCTCCTCTCCTCTCCTCTCCTCTCCTCTCCCATCCTCTCCTCTCCTCTCCCCTCCTCTCCCGTCCTCTCCTCTCCTCTCCCATCCTCTCCTCTCCTCTCCTCTCCCGCCCTCCTCTCCTCTCCTCTCCTCTCCCCTCCCCTCCCCT